CACATACCCGTTTGACCAAACTTGCACCAGCGATATAGGTGTTTCTTCCTTGATAACGCGCAAGATTTTCATATCTGGAAAGCGATCCGCATCTAGATCAAGGCTCGCCGGATGCTGGACCGAGGCGCCCTACGATCAACTCAGGTCCGCCTTAGAGGAGATCCCCTGAAGGGGGGTTTACTACGGGCCTCTCCTACACCCAATGTTTTCTAAATGTGGGTGTTCAAGTTTTGGAGAATTTGCATCATTCTTTTGGATTATGGGCTACGTATTTCTACACGTGATTATTGTCTACCGCATTACCGTCACATTACCTTCCAAGATAATATCGGAACGTTAGACTCATTGCGTCACAATGTTGACAAAATAGAGCATGAATGTTGTGGAAGCCATGTCGTAAGCGGAAATATGGCATTTTTGTTGATTTGAGAATATTATTAAAACACTCCAAAGCTTTGGGATCTATTTCATTTTTGTTTGTGAGATCGCAGACGCCACTACAAATAGCGATTTCTGAAGGGAACAAAGTTTTCCAAAACGCGAAGGTAGCAGGTCAAAATTCTACTGAATATGACTCTAATAGCAGCTTCGCCAGAACCTTTCCGAGATTTTCGACAAGAGCCGTATATGGTAGGTAGTAGCAGTAGAAATTTTCTTAAAATAACCACTTTTTTGAAAAAGAAACTTTTCCCACGTAAGCACAAAGCTCAAAATCGACTTTTTGACCGGACACTGTAACATCTCGAATTTTGCCCCAAATAACTCTGTTTTTTTGTAAAGATCTTTCTCTTGTGTCGCTCAAAGTGAAGGAAATCAGGGCCGGTAGTAATCCCCCCGACCTGGCGGCAGGTCTCGTCGGCAGGTTGCTGGCACCTTTCCGCGAGGTGGCCAGAAACTAAGAACCGAAATTTAGGCCGTCCCAGGCCTTTTTCCAAAAAATTTTCTCGATAAAGTTGCCGCCTTGACTCTGTAGAAAACTTCATAAAAATCTGCGGCTCCAGAACTCCTCCTTTAGTAAAATATCTGGAATTCCAGGAGGAGCTGCCGGCAACTTCGCGATGTCAGTTGCCGGCAACCTGCCGGCAGGTTGCCGGAATCCGCGAGATGGCAGCTGCCGGCAGGTCAGAGAGCACGGGAAATAGCGTGCTCTTTTGAGAGAGCGAGGTGCCGGCACCTCGACGTGCCCCTACCACGTCGAGGTGGTGGCACCTTTGCCGACGGCGTCTGCGAGTCTGCGAATTGCGGCGATATCACACAATTTACGTCAGGCAAAAACATCAAAAATTCTACTTTTTATCAAAAACTATCATTTTTCTCATTATACGAGTTTTTCTTTTTTAGAACGACGATTTTCTTACAGTGAAAAAATCCAGTAATGCCTTAGAATCATAAAGAAACAACATCTTTTTTGGAAATCCCTTATAAATCTCGTTTGCACAGATTTCGCCGCTCTCTCGCTCATATCAATCAGCTGTTCTTTTAGGTCAAAGTCTCTCACGCAATGTATCGATCCCTCTTACAGGCAGCCATTTACCAGCGCGTTCCTCCTATTGCTGGTGCAAAGGGCAATGGCTGACCGAATGGTCGAATGGTTAACGTGGTGGCACTTCAAGTTAACACGCATAGGTTCGACCGCGCGCGAGGTAGCAATTTTGCGGCTGTCTGCGTCATCAAAACTTAATGTGCGAGATGAGTGCGTGCTAAGGTTACATAAGATAAGATTATTAAAACCTACAATCACTGCTGCCGGCGGAGTTGGCATCTTTCCGCGATGTGTGCCAACTTGCCGGCATCTTTGATGCCACCAGGTAGGGTAGATTACTACCGGCCCAGAGTACATGACTCTATGTCTCGGATTTATGGTTTGAATACAGATGATTTTGTTGGTTCTTCCCATGATGTTGTCAATGTATGTTCATTAGTTTCTAACCTCAGCTGACAAGGGAATGGTCAGAAGTCGAAGTGGCCAAACCAAACAAGCTGTATATCATTCGATGCAGTATAGAACGCTGACTTCGAATCTGTCTTCCTTACCTGCTCATCGCTTTTGTGGAGGAGGCTACAAGCGGTTTTATTGCGAAAAAATCATACATAAAAAAGTCGAAATTGAGCACATTGTTGTACTTTTAGCTCAGATTCTGGCTTCAAAAATTTGAAGTAAGCTAGCTGCATGTTTTGGCACAGCATTAAGGCGAATGCGGCTCTGTACGGCTAAATTTTCAATTTTACGCGTAGTTTCTTAGCAAAATAATGGTCTTTAATGAATTATAGCTTCATCCAGAAAAGCGATAAGCAGGTAAGAAAGACAGATTTAAAGTTAGCGCTTTATGCTGCATCTAATGATATGCAGCCTGTCTGGTCCATTTCGATTTCTGGCCATTCCCTTGTGAGGTCCCTGGCAAAACGTGTGCTTTTCTACTTCCTCTTTACAATGCAAAACTTTGGCAATCTGTCTCCGATAAATGAGCTTGTCTATGTTGATATTGAAGTCCACACGCCTCGGGCAAAACTGGTGTAGCTCTAACATAAATGGCTCTTAGGATTTAATCCATGGATTTGACTTCACATCTAATAGTCAAATTTTTAGACAGGTTTGAAAGCTAAACAGTTCTCATGCTTGGGATCTTCTTATCTGAGCATGTCGTAAATTTCGTGGTATTTGGTTAAAGTACTAATAACAGATCTACATCAAGTTTTTCAAATCATTTGCATGGATATACACCCCTTGAGAAGCAAATGTCTGTCTTATAAATCGGTTTTATAGAATTGAAATCTATGTGTCATCCTGTATATCTTATGAATCGTATCTAAAAATGCTAGGTTCACCGCAGCTTTTAAGAGTCTTACCACGTAAGAAGACAGGAAAGATCTATCCTTCGTCTTTATTCTGAGTATCCCTCTGCTTGGTTGGCTGTGCATGCTAGGCACAAATATCGAGTACTTCCTTAATACTTCTTTCAGCAAAGCTTTTCGGTAAACTTTATCATTACTCCTAAAAAATGGTCAGCTCACTTGTGATAATGGCGAGATTTTCGTACATTTTTTGACAAGCCTGCTCTAGTTTATCCGTCTTTAAGCCTGGAGACACAGAGCATTTTGAGCAAAAACAATTTAAAGTAAGTCCCATTAATAGTTTAGACTGCAGAACTCAAAACTCTGAAGTTTATTGTTCAATCACATTAATTGCTGTTGAAATCTGACCACAAAACAATTGATGACCTTCACTGACGATATGCCAATGTCCCTAAGTTTTACAATGGAAAGACTAAAAAATAGTTTTAGACACCGCAGAAACCGTTTCAATAGTAATTGGTCGTCGACAATGAGGAGAATGTGCTCGCAAGTGCTTGACACAACTTCAAGTAAGAGCATCGGGAAAAATTTGGAGCATTAACATCGATGACAAGAAGTGAAACAAGGTATTATGAAAGCTTTGATTGTCTATATCGACGTTGTTTTCCTCTGTCTGGCACTTTTGTGGGTATATCCAGATATTTTGCCAATGGAGTAGCTCCATATTGTATCAAAGCTTTTTCGTGTATAAATGAGAATTCACATATATCATGGTAAGCACCGTTGATTTGATGTGCAAACAAATAATAGCCTTGGCGAGAAATGATGCTTAGAAAGGCGATCATTTTTGCTGGAGAACCGTGAACTTCTACGAGGACCTGCAACGCGTACACAACTGTCTAAGAACTGGAAAACTTTATGTATAAGACGTTTCCAATACAATGGAGTTGTTATCATTGTAAACGTTAGATGTTTGCGTCAATTTTGACCGACCCGTGCAAAACCTAGTTGACTTCAACCACTGTTTCCACAGAAAATGGGTGTTCTGTTTATTAGCATATCAGATCAGGTTCGGCATATCATTGTACAGTCTACAGTGCTTGTTCCGATCTTGGAGCCTCACACGTATTGGCGTTCTAACTCGAACAAGCTTTTCATAGTCGTGTTATTAAGGCCCGTATGCCCGTACATCCCCGCTGAGGAAGGGAGGGGAGAGGGGATGCGTCATATCTCGCTTCTCTAGGTATCTTTCTTCCTTCTCTATCTTGCTTGTGAAGATTCTCATTCCCTAATACCTGTGCATGATTGATGATAGGTTACTGACATAATAGAATTTTCACTATTTTGCATGATCCTCTAGGCATCCTCAGGGGTTCCCCAAAGGATCACCTCTCAATTTCAATGCCATTTACCTTCCTGAACTTTAGTGAAACGCTGTAAGATTGTACTGTGAATATACTACGGCACTGCTAAAGATGTTTATAATAGAAATGAGTGAAATCTCAGAATGTCGAAATCTTTGGTAATCCCTCGCTCGCGCGAGCAGAAATCATCAAAAAATTCACAACCTCCAGACCGCGTTTCTTCTGTCGAAAACATGCTTAGCACTGCAGTAGTGTATCGTCAGTACAATTTTGCAATGTTTTCATTGATTTCTCAGGAAGATAAATCATTGTAAAAATGAGAGGTGATCCTAGGAGATCCCCTGGGGATCACACAAAATAGCAAAAAAACTAATCTTGTATGGAAGTACCTGGCATCCAATATGCGTAGGCATCAGTGTGTGGAAAACTTTATAAGCAATGTAGAGAAAAAAGAAGAAAGATACGTAGAGTAGCGAGGTATGGCCATTCCCCTCTCATTGTCAGATCCCCTCCGTTCCCCCAGCGGAGGTGTGCGTGCATACGGGCTTAAGTGTAACCAGCTAGATGAATGAGAGTAGAGTTTAAAAAACTGACCCATTATGATTTGTGCTAAAATTCAGAAACTGCGCCAAGGTTATGATGAAACGATCGGCGTTTCAAATGTCAAGTGATGTCAAGTTTGAAGGAGCTTCCAATTGCAGAAATTTTCAAACAGAAACTATCGCACAGCGCGCACTATCTTTTGAGCCACTTTTAATGAATTTCTTAATGTAGGGCCAGGCTGTATACACATTGGTCAACTGCTATAAAGAGAACGATGGGCTTCTTCTCTATTTGCCTTGGCTACTTTGTGGAACCTACCTGTGCCGGCTTGTGTTGTTCGAGAAATTCAGGGAGTACGGTGAACTCAGTTCCTCAAATAAACTTTGTGAGTAATTTAGTCAACGCAGTGGTTTTCTACCCCACCTTCTATGTCACATTTGAAAATTTCGATGTACTCAGCATTTGCTTCAAACAAGAGGTCTTTCAAAGAGTATTCGTTTTCTTGTAGGTCTGTTTCTGCAGCAATGGTGGCCTTTCTAAACTTAGTGCGAATTCCACTCAACAAGACCATCGTTTTAGTTTCTTGGTCGCTCTGGAAAATTAACATGAAAACTCTGCAGAATTATTTCAATGACGCACGGAGTCGTACGCATAGATTTTACACCGCTTGTTGATGATGTATTGCAGTTCTTGTTCAAATGTGATCTCATTGAACAATCCGAGCGAGAATATAGTGCAGTTTTTTGGTATTCTGAAGTCCGAAGTAAAATATCACGGAAGGTGGAACAAGTAGTTTTCCTGATAATTCTTGCGAATAATTTTGCCGGATAGAAGAAATACTTTTTGATTAAAAAAAGACTGATTTAGGTGCCTGTATTTCATTACTCTGCAAACATGTAACTCAAGTACCTCCCGAGTATTTTGGAATTCTCAAGAGTTGTCACTCAAACAAGCATTGCTTAGATTATTTCAGCCTGTTTTCCTTTTGAATAAAAGTACCGTAGTGTTTTAGATCAGGTATCCTGTGAGATATAACTCCTGGACTCGAAATTCTTTTGGCTAGGAAAAAGCTTTAAAACAAGTCTCTACACTTTGAGTAAGGTACGCTGCTTTTGTGCAAATCAAGCGAGATCTCAGCTCTTTATCTCAACTCAGGGCTCGGCACGAGCTGGCACCAGGGAAATTTCAAAACGAAGTCTCGTTTGATATTGAAAATTTCGTACGAAGTCCCTTTTGACCTGTTTTGAAAACCCGTCATCATTTTTATATTATGTAAAAACTGTAGTAGTGTTCATTTCTGATTCATGAAAGAACTTTTCACAACTTTCTGAGCTTTTTAAGTGGTCGAATCACATATTGAGAAGCAGAAAAAGCCGATTTTTCGACTGCGGAGCGGGCCAAGTGGTTTTCAAATTGCTATAAAACGCTGAAAAGAGAACATTATGAAAATGTTTGTTATCCGTATGTAATCTTTTACAGTGTAGATACATTTTATGTAAAAAAATATGAAAACTTATGTGAGCAAAGTGTCGGTGCCAGCTCAGCTGGCACCCAGCTGGCACGGTGCCAGCTAATTCAGAAAAAAGTTGGGCACAGCTTTCATTCACATAAGTTTTCATAAATTTTTGGCCCGTAGTTCCGGTCCACCGACGCGCATGCACACACCAAATTTGGTGTCATACTATTGCGTTCAACGCCTTTGTTTGTTGATGGACAGCTTGCCAATGGCATGCCGGTGGCATGCCGGCGGCATGTTTGCGTCAGTTCTCCGCCTCGGCCCCTGTGGAAACGATATCTCCTTTGCTTTCCGCCCTAAAAACGATATCCAGCTTGACCCGGTGCCAGCTGTGCTGAGCCCTGTCTCAACTAATTCCTGCTCAAATCTTCATCATTTTTGGAAGCTCTCTAAGTTTCCACATCAGCGAGACACGCAAGAAGAAACGGGCGCATTCCAAAATAGGCAATAAATTGTTCCAAGATTGTGGTGCCAAATTGCAAAAGGAAAAGTCCTTGTCTGCGTAGGACCTCAGCGGCCTTCTCCATTCATGCGTATGTAAATGACTCATATTTCGCACACTCTAGTCATGAGTTTTGAATTTTGGTCCAGATAACACTACGCACATGTGCATGATGATTGGGGCGTACGTTGCGTACGCCACGCAGTCTGGCCCCACGTTAACAATGCTACGAAATTTTGAAGGACAAATATAACGCTTGCATGAATAAGATTTCCGTTCCTAAACGTCGAAATGCCCTCATAATTTTCGATCTTGAATGATTGCCTACTTATGCCAAGTTCATTGCGTATTGCAAGTGTTTTGACGAGCAATGTCATCAGTCTGTAAACATTCAAACAGAATTTTTCGGCTTTTTGGTCCGCAAAGCGACTTTGCAATAAAAATCCTGTGCTTCCTTCTAAAGATTGATCATGAAAACTTACCGAAATGGGCTGCAAATCCACTTACCACCATCGTTTGTGGATCCCACGCGAACCAACTCGGGGCAATATACCTAAAAAAATACACATTTTATCTAATTCAGCTTCTCAAACAAGAGACAACAGACGAAATGGGAAGCGCCTGCAGAAAAGAAGCGGTGTTTGTTGCAAGGATGCATTCGGTGTTTGGTGCTGTACAAGTCCCTGAGCATGCTGTAGAAATCGGTCAGAATCAAGATACAGTCATTGCTTTGCTCAATAATCTCACTCGCAGATTAATAGCGAACCGAATTTGTCAAAAAAAGTGTGCACTAAATTGCAACCTAATTTGCGATGAGATTCCTGCAGATTTTAATTAATTTATTCGTCTCAGTTAGTTAAAATCTACAGAGATCTCATCGCAAATTTGACAAAGGAAAAAAAAAATTAAGTATGCACTACGCGAACTACCGGTGAAGCCTACGCTCACAGATAACGGATTGCTGAGTTATCTTAAAGGCAGTGTCCCAGCGAAATTTTGCTTTCCGATTTTCACCTCTCCGGAGCCTTCTCGCCATGCTGAAGCCATATCTGAGCTTTTCAGCGCTTGAAAACGGCTAAAATAAGCTTTTTCCAAAGCTCTTCGTGTCCGCGTTTGCTCAAAATTACGTGGAAGTGGGCGGAGTCTGCAAATGGGCGGCGTTCGTAAGACTTCCGGAGCGGATTTTGGGCTTTCCAAAAACGTTTTTGTTTGCTCCAATTTTACCAGTAGGTTAGCTGGAGGGTCTACCATCGTAACACTGTAAAATTCCGGTACCCATCATTTTGAAGGGACGATGCCTTCGAAAGCACAGCGGTTTGTGAGTTTAAATTTGAGTTAAGAAAGGTTTGAGTGGAGGTGACGCAACGCACCACGGTCATCTTTGTCTCTAGTGTCATATCGGAATTGCATCCGGTTTCGAGGAACCAGCACAGCATAAGCATTAATGAAAATTCAGTTCCTGATTCAAGTATAATGCAAGTCATGCGTTAATGTAATAACGAGTAAAAACTAGAGACAAAGAACAAAATAAATTGCCCTATTCACGCTTTTAAACAAGAACATTTGAACGAAAATTCCAGTACTTATCTCTGGTGCTAGATTGTTGTAGATGAAGTTGTATGTTTCTATCTGGTATTTAAGGCTTGCTTCCAAATATGCACGCCTTTGCGGCACCTTAACGTCACAATTCGTGGCTGTTTCAATCAGACATTTGAGTGATCCTATAAAGCAAACCTGAATCCTGTAGAGTTCAATCATTCGCGGAGATGGTGCTGAATGTGGGGCAACAGGAGCAAAATAGGGTTTTTGCGCAAGTCTCTGCTCCACGTATCCCGCTCTTATCTCTCGAAAAACTTCCACTAAATGACAAAAGTTTGCTTCGGATCCTAGTTGAAAGAAGTTCAGTACTTTTAACTCCCTTTGGTTTGATGTTCCTAAACAGTAATGAGAAACTTAAGATGATAGCTATTAATACAGTATTACTGATTGAATATCGGTATCTCGACATATTATTGGAATCTGCAAATATGACAAATTAGCACAAAGTTCCAAGGCCTTAACGAAGTTTGCAAAAAGCCGATAAAATCGTTAAAGCAACTCAGTTCAGACAAGGTTGGCCTTCGTAATCATCAGGCTCGCTTACCCGTACGTCAGTCCCCTAGTTCAAAGTGGTGCAGAAAATCGCAATACTGGTAAAAACAATTCGTAATTCTTGAATATTGCAATGGTAAACATCAAGCTAAATTCTTTCTTGCTTTAGATTTCATGTACACCATTCTTTTCAGAAGCTAAAAAATTGTTACATCTGATTTCATCTTAGTTGCGCATACAATCTGCTCTTAGAAACGCTCATAACCTGGAACAGAAGCGAATATCTAGAGCAGATATGGAGTTACCGTTCCTTCAAGAGAGTTATCTCATCTTGATATGCCACTTCGCGCAAACCTCTACCATCTTTCGGTAGATATTCTATAAACCGTTCCAAAATTATCCCGTGTCCGCATCGTTCTCTTCCCTCCTGATGAACACCTACAGTTTCCATGTTCCTTGATTCAAATTGATTGAGCCTGTTAAAAGAGTAAGCATCTAGGCTGCGAATACTCTACATCTTTGACAGCAGACCTATTACAATTTTTTGGCAGACCAAATTTCTGGCACTTTGTCCGAAAATTTTTCTTTAAAAGGCTGGATAATGCTTTTCCGCTTTTTCTTGCTCCATCTTTGTTGGATAAGTCAAATGACATTTGCTATTATTCGATATGTAAACAGGTAAGTTTCAGATATAGCCACGGGAAAGAAGTAAATCTGAATCAAAAATGGGTGAAAAGTTTCAAACCTGTACCATCAGCATCTTGGCTAAAAACGAAGAAAGTTTCATTTGAGTTCAAATGATTCTGCGTAAGTCTTAGTGGCAGGAGAGAAGAAACAAAAGAAAATGGAGATTTTCGCAAATCATGGTGATTTCAAATCAGTTTCTCTTTTTTATTTTTATATTCTTACTTAAATTTCCTAGTTATCTTATCCTTCTCACCAAGAATGGAAGGTTGGTCAAAATGACCTTCTATACGGAGATATACACTTTCTTGTAGAACTCGGAACGCTGATTCGAAATCTGCCTTTGCTATCTGCTGTGAGCTTCCGGGCGAGGAGCTATGAAAATTATGTGGGTAAAAAGCTAAATACAGAATTGGTGTAAGATAGTCGTAACATTTTTTCAGGGTTTGACTGGTAGTCGGTCACCGGTCCAACAAACATTCTTGATTCAACCACATCGAATCGCTGCTGCCTAATTTGAATGTTAGGAAAAGGTTACATTAATTTTATGTCAATCTTACATTTAAATTTTTACTCAAGAAGCCCTCATAACTCCTCACCCAAGAGCCCGCAGCAGATAGCAAAAGTAGATTTGAAATTAGAGTTCTAAGCGCTATAAGACAATATACATCTCATCTTGAAGGCTACTTCGACCGATCTCCCTTCCCTTGTCAGGTAGCGCAGCACATTATTACCATCCTCGGCAATGACGTCCGTACTTCTTATTGCATGCATTTATTCTCAAAACCATTAAATGGAAAAAAGCGTATATTGGCAATCGATTGTACACTATTTTTAATGGACTAAGACAACTTAATCGCCAATAGTCGTCTATTTACTTTGTTAAATGTTATTAACTGTTTAGATGTTGACATACATTTTGCTTTTTCCTTTATAAGAGGTTGTATCATTAGTGGCCCAAAAATATACAACCGCGAAGAAGGAACATTCAAAAATTTGATTGAATTTTACAAACTTTGAAAAAGACTGAAAAAACAGCCTTTACTTTTTACAGCTAACGAAGGCTTAGAGAACCTATGCTTCTGAGACTGTCTCAACACTATCTAGGGTATGCAATAGATAGAAAATCACCGTAGATGTAAGATATAAATTACTCAAAAGAATGCTCAGACAATCATAGACGTTTTGTACCGTTGCTTAACATAAGGAGTGGAACGAGTTCTAATCTAACAAATTCTTGAATGAAGTGGAAAAGATGAATAAAGGATGGCTTGTGAAGTCAACGATTAATAGAGATGTCAGAGTGGATACCAGTTTTCTTGGAAATTAAATCTATCTGGTTTAGAATTAGGGCACATCAGTTATAGACATCGCAAGTCAACGTTTCATTTTTCAGTGGCAAATGCTAATGCTATTGCGATGTATTGCACTGATTTAGAACATAACTTGGTGGGGAAACAAAGAATAAGCAAAAAGATAAGGCGACTTTTCGAAAATCGGATTCTCTTACTATCTCTACAAAATTGCGTTTCTTCACAGCAATTAGTGGCTTACACATCTGATAAAACACATCAGCTTGAAATCACAGCAGTTTGATCGTGCAAGTTCGAATTTTGAAGTCCAAAAGATGATGCAAATGGTGTTTGTTATAAGAAATTTCGCTGCATGATGCATTGCATTACAAGTGCAAAATTCGGCATTTTCGCGGCATCCGGCGGTTGCTAGGCTGACGGCTGAGACAGTCATTTTATCACCCCGTAATCTCTTTTCTCCCCGCAGTTTCCAAAAATATCTCAATTTTCTGGATGTTATTCTCCAACCTAGGCTCTAACAACGGCTTTCGCCTTTCGCTGTTCTTTCGCTTGTATTTTGTCTACATTTCTAGTAGTCGCTCAATTACTGAAGGATTTTTTGCTCCATTTTCCTGCAAACATGTTGTAAGATGCGCTAGATTTTCTTTGCGAAGTCAAGTAAGTTCGGATTCGCAGACGCTGTTTCTTACATCGTGATAAACGCCTTGACGTCTTAGAGTAGAGCCAGACTGCAAGGCGAAAGCAGCGTACGCCTCTTACCTGTACAAATAAGGGCGTACGCGACGTAACGACACATTCCTTACGCTTTTGCAAAAAGCTTTTGCACAAGCAAATACTTTATCCAAATCTAGTTCTAACTAAATTTTATATGTCATCATGTTTGTGTTCCAGAAACTCGGATATTGACTGGTTGGCGAGAAATATCCTGTGTATAGTAGACTCTGTGACAAAGCTAGCAGAGTTTCAGTAGCTCCTCACGACGCCGATGTTCTTTTTGGCAACTTCAATAATACAAGATGTATTTATTAAGCTTGCCTGCAACAAAATCTCTTGGGGTTTACGGAAGCGCCCTTCGCTGCGTTTAATTTTTTTATCTTTTATGTCGAGATTGTTTTGAGACTGCAGGAATGGCCTCTCTCTATGTATGATATTCTCGCGCAGAAAACTGCAACCTTAAAGCTTGTACACCAATTATGAAACGAGGAAAATTTTTGCCTTTTCATTTATAAAAAATTTGTTTTATATGGCTTAATTTCAGGATCCCCACCTTCGGCATTTTTCGTAAAAATTATACATTCTAAAACTCTCGATTGCCACAAACTTGCCCATCTAGAAGCAGTAGGCCATAAGTCTTATATTGGGGAGTGTTTACTGAGACTCTTATATCTTGTTTATCAGTGGCACACCGATGATTGAATGACTACAATTAAAACAAGTTTTAAAAGTTTCATGAAAAAAATCCCAATTTGCTTTGAAGAAATTTTTTTCAAAGCGTGGCTATTGCTCCTTTTTTGCAGTTTGAAGGTTACGAACTCTGAAGATTTGAAAAATTAAAGGAACATTTCAAAGAACGTGTACCTTTTCCCTCCCCCTCCCAAATTTTTTCAACCGTCACTGCTTTAGCAGGAAGCAGTGAGGACCTATACAAAACACAATATTTTTCAGTCAGATAGAATCATGACTGCAATTAGGTTGGAAACTAAGTTTTGCAACTGCTTCCATAATTTAATCTCTTTGAACGTATTGCACTCAAACTTTGGCTATATGTAGAATTGTGTGCTACAACCATGCTCAAACTGTTTAATTTTTTGAATGGAAAAAATTACAAGCATTTTTCCAAAAATAGTAAATCTCAAGGATTTATGAGGTTTTAGGCAAAAATGAAGCCGTTTCGACTCACATCATGCATAGCGATGCGAAACTGTATATGAATGAACTATTACACGAGTTGGCTTATTAGGCTCAGTGAAAATGGAACAGATTCGAAAAAGTCAGTTCTAGCGCCCTCACAAAGTTGAAGTACAGGCTGGTGGAGACAACTATCAATGACTAAGGAGTGAGGATGTCAAAATCCGCGGAGACTTCACATGTCGAGGTTATTCGACCTGCTAAACACGAATATCATTTTCGTTTGTTAAATTAAAGTCTGTTCTATTGTTTAAGGTGAGACCCTACCGCTCAACTACAGCAATCTTACAAAAAAAGCTCTTACCAAGCAAATTCGTGATCAGCATGTCGGAAAACCCTCTTACTTTCAGCCAAATCAATGATTTGCAATCTTCCCCCTTATACCATATACCTACAGTAATCCTCACTGCGACGTTAAAATTTGGCGGAACAGCAGCTATGCTTGTAGCTTACGTTATAGAAAACATACTGGCAGAATTTGAGTGCTTCATATTGAATGTGAGAGAGTTTATTTAGTGAGTTGCAAAACTTAGTTACCAACCTAATACTTGGCTTATATATCAAGAATTCTTGATATTCTCGATATCTGAGCCGATTTTTGAGAAATGGTATATTACAAAAAGCACTCCATTCAAATGTTTAGTATCATAAATATTCTGCGATTTGTTGGCATTGAGTACGGCCCAAAAATGCGCTTCATTATAATACACTCACTCTTTTTTTGAGCCATAGATTATTGTTTTAGCAAGATTTTTCGAAGTCAAGATTTTTCAATTTCATGAACTCAAGAACAACACCGAGTCCTGTTGATTTACTGTAGAAGAAGTGATTACCGGCATACCCCTTGCAATCATAAGAAAAGCCTCCGCATGCAGTGCTGTTCGACTGCAAAGTACTCAGACATTCCGGAACTTGCCGAAAATTCAAACTTGGTGTTTGCTACCAGATTAAGGCGGAATGAGGGCGGTTCGCTCGAGGTCGTGAATTGAAACGCGGTCAATTGACCGTCAAGCTGATAGGCGGCCTGCGCCATGTGCAAAAGATGCTCTTGTTGTTCTCCACTTACTCGTGGTTTTTAAATGAGATTTTCTTCATCATTTTCATATTTTCCTTTGATGGGCCAGACTGCGCGCCGTACGCAGCGTATGCGCCACGCTTCTCAGACACTCGCACCGACCGGCGGCCGTTCCACGACCGGCCGGTCCGTCACCGACATTTCGGCCGGAACGATCGCCAGCCGGCCGCCAGCCGGTACTCGAACGGCCGCCGGCCGGCATGCGTCAGTGGCGCAACAAAATAGCACTGGGCCACAGTATTATTTTTCCCTATCTGGCTTTCATTCAGCTCTGTAACCTATATGGGGTGATACGAATCTATAACAACATATTTATTACAGCCAAAAGGTACAATGCAAAGAGACATTGAACAAACAACAAACATTGACACATTGTACACATATGCTTGAAAAATACATTCAAAACTAAAAAGCAAGTGACTTTCCATATTTATATGATAATATCATTTGATGCAATTGGTTCGCACATTG